ATCTCTCCAGCTTCTTTGGACAGCCAGTAGAGTGTGAGTGATTAGACAAGGAAACTGTCAATGGTTCTTTGAAGGTGTGAATAATGCTTCTTACCTTGATGGAACTCAGTTATTGAAGGTCCTAGAAGAAACAGATTATCTGTATTTGTGATAATCAGAATTCAGGCCCAAATCATGGGGCAAAAATGGCATTGTTAGCTATATTAGATGACCTTTGTTGGAACAATGATGAAGGAATGTAACCCTCTTAGTCTTTTGGGACTTATTGGTGACATTTGATACCATCACTTGTGACATTTTGCTGAATCATCAGCAAGGGGTGCGAATTGGGGACCATTGCTTTATAGTAGTTTTGCTGCTATCTGAATTGTGAAGAAGCAGCACTCACATTTCTGGTTGCTTTAGTGTGATGTGCTGCAGAAGTCTTTTTCTCATGTTATCTAATATTTACAGTATATGAAGCTGGTGGAAAAAGTCATTCGTCAGTTTAATGCAGTGGTTCTCAACCTTTTTAATGCCGCGACCCCCAACTGGTCGTAAGTCGAGGACTAAACCGGTCGTAAATTGAGGACTAAACCGGTCATAAGTCGAGGACTAAACTGGTCGTAAGTCGAGGACTACCCAACTGGTCGTAAATCGAGGACTTTCCCTGCCCGGGAGCGCCGCGCATGCGTGGTTCCGCCCCCTGTGCCGGCCGAGGCGTAGCTGGCAAGCAGCAGAGACTGAGCAGGCTGACCACCAGCTGGCCCAGCCCAAGGGAGGTAAGGCACCCGCTGGAAAAGGGGAAAAAAATGGCGCACAAAAAAATGGCGCACAAAAAAAATGGCGGACAGCCTTGCTTGGCGACCCCCGTGAAATGGTCAATCGACCCCAAATGGGGTTGCGACCCATAGGTTGAGAACCGCTGGTTTAATATATTGATTACACTTAACTATATTTTGTCATCCTGGGCCAAACCAGAGCTGCCCTGGAAAGGTTGAATGAGTATCTGGATGGATCTGGATGGATCCAGAATCTTGATTTAATCAGCTCAAATTAAATTTTATCAGGACTAAATTGTTTTCCATCAATTCATATTAGAGTGATCTGATAAAAGGGATGATGGTAGTTACTCTAGATATGGACATACATCCACAAAGAAGTTGGTTTGTGAATTGGAGCTTTTCCTGGTCTTATGGTTCCTGTTTAAACAGGTGAAGATTGTGGCCAAGGAGGACTTTACACAGGAATAGTTGGTATGCCAGTACAACTCCTTCTGCTCCAATATCAGCTCACTCAAGCCTTAATTACTATGCATTTAGATTACTGCAGTGCATTCTCTGTTGCCTTTGAAAATGCTTTGGAAACTGTAACTTCAGAATGCAGTGGCTAGATTGCTGGCCAGATAAGTTCACAGTTACAGCTAGTATCAATTACAGCAGGGGTAGTCAACCTTGGCTCTTTTATGACTCGTGGACTTCAACTCCCAGAATTCCTGAGCCAGCTAAGCTGGCTCAGGAATTCTGGGAATTGAAGTCCACGAGTCATAAAAGAGCCAAGGTTGACTACCCCTGAATTACAGGATCACTACATTGGATATTAATATGCTTCTAAGTCTAATTCAAAGTGCTGGCTTTTATCTACAACAGCGGTTCTCAACCTATGGGTCGCGACCCCATTTGGGGTCGATCGACCATTTCACGGGTCGCCAAGCAAGGCTGTCCGCCATTTTTTTCCCCTTTTCCAGTGGCTGCCTTACCTCCCTTGAGATGGGCCAGCTGGTGGTCGGCCTGCTCCGTCTCTGCCGCTTGCCAGCTACGCCTCGGCCGGCGCAGGGGGCGGAACCACGCATGTGCGGCGCTCCCGGGCAGGGAAAGTCCTCGACTTACGACCGGTTGGGTAGTCCTCGACTTACGACCGGTTGGGTAGTCCTCGACTTACGACCGGTTTAGTCCTCGACTTACGACCGGTTTAGTCCTCGACCTACGACCGGTTGGGGTCATGGCATTAAAAAGATTGAGAACCACTGATCTACAAAGTCCTTTCTGGCATCTTGAGAGCGCTTCCTAAAATAATTGGGTAGATGACAGCTCTTCTCTTTAGTGGCTCCTATGCTCTGGTACATGGTTTCCTGTATATAGCCTTCTTCCTCTTTGCAATTTGCAAGGTAGTGAAAACATTCTTATTCCACTGGGGGTTTGGTTCTGAAATGAAAGATTGTGGACATTTTCTCATGTCATGCTCTGTTTTACCTTGAATATTATACTATCATGCTGTGTTATACGTCATCCAAGATACTATGATTGTGGGTCTACAAATATTATAAATAAACATTTTTCTACAACATATATAATATAATTTTCTACAATTATGAAATATAATTTATTATATTTTAGTTATTATAAATAAAGTAATTTCTGTTATATCATCATTACACAAATGTTGCAAATTACAACAGAATTTAGTCTGTTGCACCAAAATCCATTGGAGTAAACTCTGGAAAATTAAAGTTTTACTGTAATTATTTTTGTCTTAACATAATATATGAATCCATGGTTTATTCTTGATAATGAACAAATCATGGTTAAGCAAGCTATGGCTCAATGTAATGTGTGAACTTGACCAATCAGTTATTATTTATTTATTACCTTTATTTGCCACCAAATTATCTGGAATTTGTAACTATAGAATAACTTCGGTTTTGAGAATTTATGAAAGAATTAACACATCTATGTAGTTCATAGAAATGTCAGGCTGGTCTGTCTATAGACACTTCTGACAGTGACTCAGTAATGTCAGATGGTTCAAAATTCAGCCAATTTTTTAAAACTGAAGTTTAAAGCAGAGGCCCCAAACCTTTTGGGTACCAGGGACCGGTTCTGTGAAAAAAGATTTTTTCGCAGAGCAGAGGGGGCGTGGTTTTGTGTGTTGCCTGCATCCAGCGGATGGGGCTTTGCTTGTTTGTGTGGACCGATTGCTGGCATGCCGCAGCTTAGTGCCGGTCCACGGACCGGGGGTTGGGGACCCCTGGTTTAAAGCACAAATTATAGCACTCTAATCCTACATCTACTTTATTTTAAAAAAATATGAACATAGTGTAAAGTGCTGATATTAATTTTAAATCCTTTAAACGCACAGGAACAAGATACTATACAGAATGATATTTCCCATATCACAGTAACTTGCTTGACCTTCAGAAGCCCTTCTTTTTGTCACCTCCTCTTGTAAAGGCCTTTTCTGTGAAAGTGTATAATCTACAGTTATTTATTTGATTGATTTATATTTCACCTTTCTGATCAAACGATACTCAATGGAATGACATTTGTTTAAATTATCAGTTTGGTTCCTTACATTTTGGAGGAAAAAAACTGATACCCATGTGGTAACTAGGATTTGATAATGACTTGATGGCATATAATCAATCCTTCCATTTTTAGGTAATAATTTAAGACCAATTTGTTTAAAGTTTTGATTAAGTATTGCTACATTGCTACATCTTGTGGTTTTGTTCATGATTTAATTGTGAGATTGGTTAGTCCCATGTAACTGTATTTAAAAGTAAGACCCATTAAATTAAACGGAACTTACTTGCAGTAAATTAATGTACAATTACAGAATATCTTGCTTTTTGGATATCCATTTTGAACAGAATAATAGAAGCAATATAAATTTTAAAAAATCAATAACAGATCTCTGATAATGTGAATGAGTCTCATGGCAGAAACATACAGTAGAGAATAAATGTGAGGCTGAATTTAATTGAGCAGCAGTAATAGAAGAGAAGAACAAGGTAAAGTGATGAAATGAATGAATATGGTTCCAGATTATTTGTAGGATTGCCTCTCCCCAGGGTATGTGCCTGTTAAGCAAGTCAAATAGTGCAGGTGTACTACAGGTCTCCTCCTTTAAATGTTGTAATCTAGTTGGACCTGGGAAGTGCACCTTTTGGTAGCAACCCCTGCCCTGTGGAAAAGAGACATCCAGAAGGCCACCATCCTACTAGCTGTCTAGAAAACCTTGAAAAGCTGGTTCCCGTCCCCCCAAATTTGGGTTAGGGTGAAGCTGGAGCCCAGACAATGTCATTGTTTATGTATAGAGGGGTATTGTTTTAGGAAATTGAGAGTTGTTTCAGACGTTAGTTTTAGACTTTCTGTTACATTTTTATTTGCAGCTTGTGATTATGGTATATATATTTTTTCTCAATTTACATGGCGATCCATCTCAGATATTTAGCCAAGGTAAAAAACAAAACAACAACAAATTGACACAGTTGTTAAATGGACTCTGCCCACATCAAGATCCCCTGGTATAGGCTGGCTTGGTCACTCAACAGGGAGACACTGGTGAAGCGGACACAGCAGCGCCTGCATTTTCTGTGTCGCATGAGAAAAGTACATCTTCTTTCCCCTATCCTTACCACTTTCTATAGAGGGATGATCGGGAGCATACTGTCATATTGCATTACAGTCTGGTTTGGAAGCATCACTGTTTCAGACAGGAAGGCAGTGCAGAGAGTGGTGAGAATGGCACAAAAGATTATTGGCAGTTCCCTCCCTTCCATCCAGACATAGCATATGAGCGTTGCTTGAGCAGAGTCTGCAGGAATGTCTGGGACACTACACATCATCTTCATGACCTGTTTTCCTTGTTACCTTCTGGGAGGAAGCTTTGTGGTATCCGAAGCAGAACATTCAGATTCAGTCACAGTTTTGTTCCATACAGTATTAAACTTGTGAACTCTCAAGTTTCTTCTTTCCGTATGTATTCAAGATGAACAGTGATTAATATTTATATGTATTTATATGTAAGGGTGTAGGTATATAAATATATTTTATATAGCATCTTTATATGTGTGTTATGTATGTGTGCACTTTTGAGAGAAGGCAACAGAATATCATTGTTAATGTGTTCCAGTGTGTCCACAGTAAAAAATGACAATATTCTCTTCTATAAGATGAGCCATATAAGTCAAATAAACTTTCTTATTGGATAAGTTAATATTACTTTGATTTTCAGATAAACATCATGTGAATGGGAATAGTATGGTTGAACCCTTTCCAGAAGGAATGCACATGGCAATATTTGGTAAGTTCAATTTGTTTAATATTGGGACTTTATTTCTGACTAGACATATATTAAATTATCTTGTTTTTCTATTATTAATATTAATGAATATCACTATAATTCTTTGCTTCAAGAAACTGTTTACCATTATTATCTCTTTTTAAAATGATAATTTATCCAAGTATGGATGAATTTGAATTTTTTATATCCAGTCTTTTGACTTGTTAATAGAAACACCCCTCCAACACACCCAGATATGGGTATTGTACCTGGGATGAAAAATGAATTAAGATTGCTATATGGAATAAGAGAGTCAGTTTGATATAATGGTTAGAAACTGGGAGACTGAGTTCTAGGCCTGCCTTGGGCACAAAGCTAGCTGGGCAACTTAGGACAGTCACCCTCTCTTAGGCTTGGGATGCAAGAAAGGGCAAACTCCTTCTGAAATCTTGCCAAGAAAAATGAGGGACATGTCCAAGCAGTAACCAGGAGTAAAAACTGACTTGATGGTACACACACACACACAAAATTAAACAAAGCATTCATGTAATGATGGATTAAAACTCAATCCTAATGCATTACAATAAAGAATACATTCACTATTGTTCCTAGTTATTGTTTAGAAGGGATTGGCAAAAGACATTAATCATTATTGTGGTTAGCCAGAAGCCATTTTAAACATTACAGGGTACAAATATAAATGTGGTTCTTAGAAATTAGTAGAAATCAAATATACTTTTATGATTAAGGATTTCTAGTCAATGGTTTGCACTGACTTAGCTGTTTCTCAAAAGGGATATGTGTTCTATTATCTTAATGGTAAGTTACAATCTTGTAAAGAGTTTAGTTATGCTAAAGCTTATGGTGTAACTCGACAGTTGAATGGAATTTGAAATATATAATTTGTCAAGAATTAATATTATGTTTATAGGAGAAGAGTGGCAGAGCCTGGGGGCGGAATTAAAAGAGGAAACAGCCTAGAATCCCTACATAACCACCAGCAGACTAGGTCCAATTCCCCCTTAAATTCTATTCACCCTTATCTAACTCTGAGCAGGTGCTAACCATTCGTTTGGCTGTTGTAATATGCTAGACTTATTATATATTTATTTACAAGATTGTTCATTGCCTCAGTCATAGGACTCTGGGTGAGGTGCAACAAAGCAAAGCACATTGAACAGAAATAAAAGAGAATCAGTGCATTTTACCCCACTCCCAAATTGCAAATAAATACACAGATGTCTGCTATTATTCACAGTGGGGCTAAAGCTTGATAGGATCTTCCACCTTGATATATGGCAAGCTGTAGTTCAAACTTGGGTATGGAAAATAAATGAGGAAACTAATCAATATAAGTTCACTGCGTAACTTGCAGAAATCACTGTCTCCCAGGCCAAACTATTTTACTCAGTTATTTTGTGGTGCTATTTACATCATATTTAGCTCTTGAGGAAATGTGCAATGTAAAGGTAAAGAATTTGGTTTACTTCATTTCATAGCGCAAGGAGACAAGTATACCAAAACGCTGAATCATTTTTGCAACTCTTGAGATATGTCTTTATGTCAGTTAACCTTACCATAATCTTTGGAACATTACCCTTTGATTAATTAGCATTAAAATGTCCTTTGTCCCTCAGGAAAGTCAAGTATAACTCTTTGTCTTAAAAAGCAGATTCTTACTCTTACCTCATGGTGAGATGAGCAGCAAACAAATTCAATAAATAAAATAAAATTGCTGGGTTTTGACACAATAGTGTTGATTCTGGTTTGTTTGGGGTTTTTTGGAGAAAGAATATTTTTGATATTACCTAGAGAAGACTGAAAGACTCTCCTGAGCATTAGCTATCAACTATTTTTATGTCCTATCATACTATTTTTGGCATCATGCGCATTTTCATAGGAATAAGCAGATTATTAATTCACCAATTCACACCTGGCAGGAATAGCCAACACTCCAGAAGATAGGCTCAAGATATAGAAGGATCTTGACAAAGTTGAACATTGGGCCCTAGCTAACAAAATGAAATTCAATGGTGAAAAAAGTAAGGCAAGAAAAACAGGTATACTTGTCTCAACAGTAGTAATTGTGAGAGGGATCTTGGAGTTCTAGTGGACAATCACTTAAATATGAGCCAGCAGTGTGCTGCAGCTGCCAAAAAAGCCAATGCAGTCCTAGGTTACATTAATAGAGGGATATAGAATCAAGATCACATGAAGTGTTAATACCATTCTATAATGCCTTGGTAAGAACACTTGGAATACTGTATCCAGTTTTGGTTGCCACGATGTAAAAAAGAAGTTGAGATTCTAGAAGGAGCACAGAAAAGAGCAACAATGATGATTAGGGGACTGGAGGCCAAAACATATAAAGAACGGTTGTTGGAATTGGGTATGTCTAGATTAATGAAAAGAAGGACTAGGAGTGACATGATAGCAGTGTTCCAATATCTAAGGGGTTGCTATAAAGAAGAGGGAGACAATCTGTTCTCCAAAGCACCTGAAGGCAGGACAAGAAGCAATGAATGGAAACTAATCAAGGAGAGAAGTAATCTAGAACTAAGGAGAAATTTCCTGACAGTTAGAACAAATTAATCAGTGGAGCGACTTGCCTCCAGAAGTTGTGGATTCTCCAACACTGGAGGTTTTAAATAAGAGATTGGACAACCATTTGCCTGAAATGGTATAGGGTTTTCTGCCTGAGGAGGGGGTTGGACTAGAAGACCACCAAGATCCCTTCCAACTCTGTTATTCTGTTAAATTAAAACTGTCTAGGTTGTTAGCTCAAGTTATGACTTCTTAAAGTGGTCGGGGAAAGCACAGATTGGCAGATTAAAACACCTGTACTGCTTCCTTTCCTTCCCGAGCATCGGGATGACCCAGTTCCCAATCAAACAGCAGCTGCCAATTAAACGGGTGGGGGAGTGGAGGGTGGGGGACAAGATATCTGCCTGGATACTCTGCAGTCTTATTCCTCCTTTAGATGTGGTGTGAACTAAAAGTTTTGCTAGTTGTTTCTCTCAGCTGGAGCCAAGAAATAGAAAAAGAGAACAGTTAAACAAGCCAAGCAGGAAAAAAAAACAAGCAGAAAAGCCAAAGAAACAATTAAGACTTTGACAGAACAGAAATAAAAAACAAAAACTAAAAAAGAAAGTATCAGCCCTTTCCCATAAATCAGGCAGGAAACACATCTGGATGAGCTATGTTAACAGAATCTTGCAAATCTGGAAGTACAAACTTCCTGCCACCATTTTTAACTGATTGATCCATTAGGGCAGGTCCTTTCTAAGTTCCTTTCTCTGGCGGTTAAGTCACTGGGGGCTCTTGCCTTTCTTGATTGACTGTTTCCCAGACAGCATTTCTTCCCCTTTCCCCTCAAGGTCATTCCCTTATTCCATTATACGAGGACAATTGGACTTTCTTGGATTTTTTTCTTCAAAAACATTTCACTTCTCATCCAAGAAGCTTCTTCAGTTCCAGTTCAGTTCTAATGATTTCCCACAAGCCACTTAGAACTGAAGAAGCTTCTTGGATGAGAAGTGAAACATTTTCAAAGAAAAAACCAAGAAAGTCCAGTTGCCTTTTGGAAAAGCACTTTTGGGACATTAAGACAGAACACATTTTTTTTAAAAAAGTGCGATAAAATGGATGCCAAATTTTTAAAGAAAGAGTCACAATACAATAATGGGAAGAATTATTGAACAAATTTGCACAAAATATGGTAAACAAGGAAAAAGTCCTCCAAAGTACTTGAAAGAAATACACATTATTATTCAGAGAATTTTAGAAATCATATTTGAAATGAAACTACATTCTTTTTACTAGGCATAATTCTTAAATATACTAACAAAAATACCACAATTTACTAAGTGCAGGGATAAGTGCAGGGATAAACTTAGAACAATATTAGAAAAGAGTTATTAATGATAACTTAGAATTTAAACTTAAATAGATTGGGAACAAAGAGAATATATAGTAATGGCAAAATTAACAGCGTGTGTTTATAGCAGAAGTTTTACCTCATTCAAGCAAGAACAGTTTCCATGCTTATAGCACAGCAAGGTAAATTATAAGTATTCAGAATATGACAATTAAAGGGAAAAAGAATCGATGAAAGAACTGAACTCATAAATATACAAACATTTTAAATGTTTAGGGATATTATATATCTGTCAAGTACAAAAAATGAAAAGTTAGAAGTTAAATATTTATAATATTTTTAATAGCTTTTCTTTTTCTTTTGATTTTTTAAACAACAAATAGTGGAGATTCTGGCACTTAGCTCAAAGATTCAACTCTTTTGTCATATTGTTAAAATAATACAATGTACCTTATTTTTTATGGTTAATTTCTTGTGCATAATATATTGAGCACTAAAGAAAACTTGGATTGAGATGAGCAGCTATATAAATTGAATAAATAAATAAAAGAATAAATAAATAAAAAGAGGCAGTTTGATATAATAGTTAAGGCACCAAGCTAGACACTAAGAGACCCCGAGTTCTGGTCCTGCCTTAGCCATAAAGCCAGCTGGATGATTTTCAGCCAGTCACTCTTTCTTATCCCTAGGAAGGAGGCAGTGCAAACCACTTACAAAAATCAACTCAAAGGGGAAGGAAGGAAGGAAGGAAGGAAGGAAGGAAGGAAGGAAGGAAGGAAGGAAGGAAGGAAGGGCAACAAGATCATCTATAAGTTAAAAGGGGAGCATTTCTTTTATGCCCAAGAAACTCTTCCTCTATTGATAGTGGTGTATGTAAAATAAATAAATAATGATTATTCCAGTTGTGTGATCTATTATCACTGACTGGTGCATCTGTTCCCTTTGGGCATTGTATGTTAAGGCAGAATTTTGGATCCAGACATACATGTCAGCGAGGGAAGACTTTGGAATCTATGGATAAGATTAACTATGTCATACTTTCTGAGTATTCCAACTTCAAAACCTTTTAGTTCTAATATTAGTATCTGATATATAGGGGTAACCATTGACCTAGGCCAGTGATGGTGAACCTTTTAGAGACCGAGTGCCCAAACTGCAACCCAAAACCCACTTATTTATTGCCAGGTGACAGGTGGGCGTGGCCCACTGGGTGGGCGTGATCACCTCGATGTTGTTCGTGGGGAGGGACACCTGTGGGGGCCGGGCAGGGTTGGGGGAGATCCAGGGGGTCTCTGGCAGGTGGGGCGGTGGTCAGGAGACTTTTCCTGCTGGGTGAGGCGAGGCAGGGCGGGGGTGCCATTGTCACAGGGCATGGTGAGGCCAGGGCGGCTGTTGCCTGACACCATCGGCACACAGAGGCCAGCAAGCGCATGGGTGCTGGGATGCATCTGGCCATGTGGGACCTCGGCGAGTTAATGGGCAGCTGGTTGAAGAGGGATGGTTGCCATCTTCGGGTCATGGCGTGCGTGCCCACAGAGAGGGCTCTGAGTGCCGCCTCTGGCACGTGTGCCATAGGTTCGCCACCACTGACCTAGGCGCTCATATTACCTTTCTGATGAGAGCATCTAGAGTCTATTGTTGCTTTAAATTATGCTGCTCTAAAATGTGGACCATATTAAACAAGAAATATAAACATCGTCTGCTTTTCATGAGTTCCAGTTCACATAAGAAGTATGGAAGAATTTAGAATGCATGACACCTTCTACATCTGTGAAGATGATTATATGAAAATAATAATTCCATTAATTTCAATCAACAGGTAAACTGGAAATTGAATGGTTTTATGATACAGAACACAATTGTACAGTTTTTCTTAGTTCTTTTATGCATTGCTAGATTTATTCTGATTGTGTAATTATTTTTAGACTGTAGTGACACGTTGTTTTTAATACTTTTATATTAATAACATAGATAAGAGCTGGTCAGAGAAGATCCCTTTAGTTTAAAGTTGGTTTCTGAAGATTCAAAGGAACTCCATACCTTTGTGATCTATTTGATGGCAGGTTTGGCTTTGTTCTATTAACTGTATTTCCAAAAAAATGTTGAAAATGATAGGAGGTAGCAGAGATTCACTTCTGATTCACTTCTCGATAGGACTTGGACTAAAATATTTCAAAGAAAAAAATCTGTCTAAAATTGAGAAATAAAAGTAAAGACAGGAAGTATCTTGTATTTCACATGCAAAAAAATTCCTCCATTGCCAATGGAGCTTAACTTTAAGATGTTTTTGCACTTTGATATTAACTTGATGAAAATAAGAAAGTGTGAAGCCGCCTCATATTATTTGAAAATAATGATCTACATGTAAATTATACTTTGCTCAATATTTATACACATACAGAAGACACAGTTTCCCATATTTATCACTGCAAGAATTTTTGGTAAGTGATCCCTTTTATGTAAAAGAGATGAGTGATTTACTTTGTCCAGGAATCATAGTGTTGTTGTTGTTGTTGTTGTTGTTGTTGTTGTTGTTGTTGTTGTTGTTGTTATTATTATTATTATTATTATTATTATTATTATTATTATTATTATTATTATTATTATTATTATTATTATTATTTTACTTTTACAGCTGCAGGCATCATGGCCAACAGGAGTCATTCTGCCAGTTACTGTTGTCATAAGAATGGGCAGGGTTGAATTTTTCCCTTTTCTATTATTATTAGGTGGGAGGAATAGAAAAAAGGGTACTTTAAAGTCTGAGAATAATGCACCATTTTTTAAAAATTTACATTGTAAAAAAAATTATGCCATTTTGCTGTCATATTTCAGTGGCCAATCTTGGGAGGCTTTGTGTTCTGCAAAAATAGGATTTATTAGCAGATGATCCATCAAAGGATTAATTGCCATGAAACATATCAGCTTAATAATAATTATACCAAATGAAAACATAATGGTTCTGTTTTAACAATGCAAATGTCAATACATCAGTTTTTAGTTCCTTGGGACAGTTTCTCACTTGATCTACAAATCCACAAAGAAAATGCAGTCTCTTCAATTCTAACTGCAGATTTTTTTATACTAGTATGCTTTGATGCTATTTGGTTATCCCAAATAATTCTCCTCTTCCCAGTTTTTAGGGTCTTCTCAAGACTTTAAACCAGATTAGGGAGAAAGGGATATCTTGCAAAATGTTGACACAAGTTTTCTTTAGGACAACATTCAAGACAATTTTAACAGCTACTAAGTGAAGCTGTTTCTGAGATGTTTTATGAATTTTCCTAGTTGGTATATATTTTCTAGCCCAAAAATGTTAATATCTGTCAATGCAACGTGGATTCAAAATGGCTCTTATCCCTACTCGCTGTTAATTTAGTACCATTTGGGAGATTTCAATTTCATAGGATGATTTCTGAGGCTACAAGGTCATTTATATGGAGGTTATTTGCCAACGTATATCTGCAGACTGGCCATGTCAGTGAATAAATACTTCAATTTTATATGCACTTTATATATTATTTGCATACATGAATTGACTAGGCTGAGAAGGCTTTTCCCACCTTCTTTCTGGCATGATCTCTAATTTAGTTAATTATTGTTCTGCCACCTCTAAAGATTGCAGATGCCAGGAAGCAGAACATTAAATGAATGTTTGCCATTAATACAGATTACTGTGTTTTGACAGTTTGCTAATCAACTAAAAGAAAATTATGCTGTAAAAATATGTATGATTGCCTTTTAACCTACCCTAAAGCTCTTATATGGATGTGGTTTTTTCATTAAAGGTTCTGTATTTTATAAGCAATTTTTGATAAAGTGCAGCATCTAAAATTAGGCAGCATCAGCACCTTTAATATTTGAGTTTATGAAAAACATTTTAAATTTTCCTATTCAGTTAGCTTCATATTTCAATCCAGAAATCAAATTTAAATATAGTGTTGTCAAATTACTATGTTGATAATGGAGTAAACTCATTTCATTTCATTTCAATATGTTATATAGTAAGCTAACCAAATTTGTATAATACCCTCAGGTACAAACATCTAGGTTAATGCTTGCCAATTTTTACATGTTATTTAACTGTCATGTCTTTAACTAGCCTAAGTTATTTGTGTTAAACACTAACCTTACTTAGGATCATGAGCTTTGTGAATTACAAAGGAAAGAGTGAGTTTGTCAGACAATAAAAAAGAGGAAAATATATCTTATTGAATATATTGATGCTTTTTCAAAAAAAGAGTTGTCACAAATTGCTTGATGTTCAAAGAATGTGTTCCAAAAAACACCTTTCTATTACATTTTCATCTGCATCATGTGGGTTGAGATATTATTTTTATTGATATCTTTGAAATTCCATACTGGTAACATTTTAATTTAATTGAAAGGGAAATGCAAACATCATTGTTTCCCTAAAACAGGGGTCTACAGTTAAATTGTCATAAATACTTCATGACAGCTTGTTCAGCAAACACAAAGAGAGCACACATATCTTTTCATACACTGATATAAAAATCTCTATTGAGACAAAATGAAAAGTATCATGGTATGTTATTAAGAATAAATACATTATTATTATATCATTTATAAATTTGATATATAACTTGATGTTTGTTTCTTATGATTTATGTTGATTGCTTTATTTAGTATCCTATGACTATCACTGAGTATTGTATCTTATGAATTATGATTGTATTTTATTATTATCATCATGATTGATCACTTGTTACTTGTATGTACACTAAGACCTTATGCACAAGAGACAAATTCTTTGTGTGTCCAATCACACTCGGCCAATAAAGAATTTTATATATAATGTAAGCAACTCAGCTTCATTAGTATTATAATTATTTATGCTTATTGCAGGGATGGGCTGTTTCTGGGGGGCAGAGAAGAAATTTTGGAAGCAGAAAGGAGTCTACTCTACTCAAGTCGGTTACGCAGGAGGATATACCCCAAATCCCACATATGAAGAAATCTGTTCAGGTAAGGTTCATATTTTTAGGGATTAGATATCTCTTACTGACAAAATTAATAGAAAAAATAAAGGTTCAGGAAGTCAAGAAATAAAATAACATGCAAGAGGTTAAGAGGAATTTATACAGCTGACGTTATCAGCATATACATTTATGAAATAGTTTTTATACGAATGTATTTGTCTAGCTTCATGCTTCCTATTTTGTAAAACTTTGACAGTCCTACTGGTCAATATGGTTGACTGAATCAGTATCCTTCTTTATGCAAACTACATTATTTTTAATATCCATTGTATCAGGATTGTACATAGTATGCATTCAGTCATAGTAATTGATTGTGTGGATCACCTTGGGGAAAAAGGGGAAGTCATACTGTCTAGGGACCGATCAGATGAGAGAGGAGCCCTCAATGGCTTAATGCAGCTTTCAGGAAAAAAAATTGGGAAGGACTTACCCTAATGGATCAAGCAGATAAAAATGGCGGTGGGATATTTGTGCCTTCAGACTTGCAAGATTCTGTTAATGTAGCCTTACAATAAAGTAGAATTTGTTCATCTTAGTCCTGTTTCCTGCCTGATTTACATGGGAGGACTAACAGTCATTGCCCAATATGCTTTTCTTGAGGATTGTACATTAGCATATCTTTCAAGAACAGAATGAAGAAAAGAAAAAAGGAAAAAAAAATGTATGTGCAAAATATTTTAAATGGGTTAAGTTGAGCAACTTAAATATCTAAATAAATTTGTAAAAATATAATATAGTGAGAACAAAAATTAAAAACAATAACAACCAAGCACCAACTTTCCATCATTCCATTTAAAAACTTACTTTTTAAATTGAATTGGGCTTTCTTATTTATTTGTTTCAATTTATATGGCCTCCCATCTCAACATTATAACTCTAATAGCAAACAGTTAAAAACATAGCATAACAGCAACATAAAAATAAATATATAATCGGCATCTGGGATAAAAACCACAAACAACCATCAGGATGATCATCTCATGGGCTCTCTTATATGTTCTGACCCCAAAATAGCCACTAGTTTTAAAAAAACCCAAAAGTATTAGGACCAGAGATGGTGCAAATCTTGGAAACATCACTTGATTTGTAGCCCTTGAAACAATGTTGTTATTTCCCCTTTGAAATGAATTAATCTTGTACCCATTGGAATAGATTTTTTCTTTTGAGGTTCTTTTAATTTTGCACCTATTTTAAATAAATCTACTGTCCCTTTGAAGCGATTGCTTTCCCTAACCCTATGAGATCACGGAAGAAAAGTATTTTCTCTTGCAAGTAATTATCCGAATGTTATTTTCTTAAAATAATCAGTTTCTTAAAATCACAATGCATTCCTTTACCTGGTGGACAAAGCTGCAGCCCTTGGTTTTTCCTGTTTCCTTGAAAGCAAAAGTGAGACTATGATCTAGATTTGCTGTTTTCTTCTTTGTGTGCTTCATTTCGGTGAAGTCTCTGGAATGTTTAGGAACTTGTGTTCAATTCAACTTACTCTTGGCCACAGAGTAGGAAGAGATCTCAAAATATATTCTTGCAGCTCATGCAATGTAGCCATTTGGAGCAATGGAGTATTACAGAATGTGTCTCTCATCTCGCGATGAGATATTTGATTACCAAACTGCAAAACTCTCTTAAGATTCTTTGTGCATCAAATTACATCCACAGCAATTTGAACTCTTTCACAGCTTACTTGACTTCTTGTGGATTATAGTATTTTAGTAGCAGAATGTAGAAGCAAGCTTTTGTGAATTATGTATTATGCTTTTAAGAATGATTATCATCACCTTTTATGTTAGCAAAATACAAACCATGTTGCTCTGAGCTAAAACTGTAATCAAATTGCTCTGACTTCTGAAGATAAGTACCCTGATAGAAAATTATTTTTATATCTCTGTAAATTGTCTTACAGATGCATGTTTGAAAAGATATTTGTAATGGATAAATGTTTTGGGCTATTTCCAGTGCCTTTGACTCAATAGACAAATGCACATTTTTTTTGGCTAGTATTATGTAAAATTCATGCTGTTCATTCATTATGAAATATCTCTTTATAGTTTGCTTACAGATGTTCAGAACAACTTTTCATTTATCAGTGTATTCAAAAGTGATTTCAGATCGGTACGTATATAGTGGAACTGAGACCTAATGGAAAGAAAAACTTGTTGATTCAACAGCTGCTTTGTGGTAGTTATCAGCCTCTGTCTTCATCCCATGTACTTTGCTTGAGATCAAAATATTTTTACATTATATTTCTGATTCAAAATATGTAACCAAGTAATTATCTGAAATTTTGGGTAGCCTTTCAGAATATAATTATATGGAGGAAAATGAGTTTTGAACATTATTTCTTATTTAGATATGGTACCCTAAAAGTCATTTAGTTTGTGTTTGAGCACCCTGTAATATTTTTTTCTTCAGCAGCTGTCACTTTGTTTTTTAATATGTGTGAATGATCTTTGAAAATTAATGGCAATTTAAATGCCTGTTTTTAGTTTTGTTGCCATGATACCTACAGTTTTGTTCAATAAATTATGCTTGTTTCACAATTTGCTTTCTTAAAGAGTTTCCTTCAATTTTAGAATTTTGAGATAGCTGAGAAGTGATTCTTTATTATTATATTATTATTTCATGCCTGCTTCTATTCTATTCGTTGTCTGAGAATTCGTTGATTGTTGTTCATTTATTAAAAGTGTATATTCTGACTTCTATTTTATTCAGCATGTAACACTAAAAACAAGGAGTAGTAAAATTATAGGAAAATACATTAAAACCTCTGTGGAATTCTGCACTGAGTAGTGGATTGGAATTGATGGTCTCATGATTCCGTATCACTTGTCTTTTTTCTAAAGAATGTATGTAACAATTCTTTTGTTAATTATGTCTTTCTGAACATAGTACAGTAAAAGAGATGCTCATAATATTTCTTCTAGTTTCATTCATCTTGTACATAGTAATTTTGGGCATTAAAATATCCAATTATCAGATGTAGGTATAGCTAGAAGGGGAAGAAAAATAACTGTCCTATTAATATAACTGAGATATTATTTCACCTTGACAGATGTGCCTAGATTTTTAAGATGCTTTAGCTCCATGATAAAACTATAAATATTATCCCTGTTTTCTGTCACTACTAATGATGCCTACTGGATTGTGAGAACAAACTCTGAAGATTACAGGCCTGAAATCTTCAGGCAGTATAACAGTTGAGCATACTTTTTTTGTTGAACCCATTGTGAAGGAAATAGATTTCTGTTAGGTTTGTGACTATTTGTCTTATAGCTTCTCTTAAAAGGATTTAAATATGGAAACTTTCTATACAGAGTGCAGCCTTGCTCATTCCAAAATCTTCTGCTTGTTTGGCTATATCAGGTGTAGTCAACCTTGGCTCTTTTATGACTTGTGGACTTCAATTCCCAGAATTCCTGAGCCAGCTTAGCTGGCTCAGGAATTCTGGGAGTTGAAGTCCACGAATCATAAAAGAGCCAAGGTTGACTACCCTTGGGCTATATCATTCTGTCACTTTCCTATTGTTGACTTAGTTCACATGGGCTGAAAGAAAGACTGGTCAGTGTCAAAATATTCTGTATTCTTTGAAAGAATTTTAGGTGGCACAGTATAGAATGATAGCAGTTCTCATTTTCCATTCTTTTATTGTAGTAAATAAGGGAAATGGATTGATAAGAAATCATTGCTAATAGTTTTTATCCTGAACACTTTGATTGCTTGGAAATATTCTTTTTAATTAAAAGATTACTAAGAGGACAGACACTTTGAAAGACAACTTGCTTAATTCTGTCATTGCTCTGCAACATGTAGGCAGAGGAGAATAAATATGTTCTAAGGTTCCATTCACCTGGGACAATTTTCAACCACAATCATTAGCATTACTTTGTCTCCCTAGAATTGGGATGGATAGTTTTCAGGCTTAAAGGTGGAGGTTATTTCTACATTAGATAGATCAGACTCAAGTAGAAAAGGAAGGTTTATATGATCATTTTACATACAAATGAGAGATTAGACACAAACATGTCAGATTGATACAATGCATTCTGTTCAGTTCAGAAAGTTCAGTTGTATATACTTTATGGAAATGTGACATTAGAACAGAATCATTGGAAGGCTTTTCGGCCACAATTAATATTTGATACTGTTTAGAAAGGGAAGGCAATTAATTTCTTATTTTGCCATTTCAGTGAGCTAACACTGTCTTAAGCCAAGAGGGAAATCGGATACAAAGAAATAAAATGTATAGGTAATGATTTTTGTTTGTTATGATGAAATGGGAAATTTAATATAAATAAATAAATTGCTTGTTGGCTTATGTTTTATTCTGTACTATGACCAGTACTACTACTAGTACTATTCTGTACTACTTTCATAAGCCAGAGAAACATGAGTGGATGGAACTGTTCCAATATTGGTCAAAAAATGCCAATATCTGACCAGGCTTGGCAATGTATGCCCTGTAGTAAGTCCCTTGCCCACCACCTAACATCTTGAATAAGATTGTGCTTTCCATGGCAGTTAATGTGGTGACATCTCTTTACACTTGAACCAGAGCTCAACTTGCCTTATCTTCTTGAAAATGAATTCTATCTTGTTAGACTTAAATGTAAATGTAAATGTAATAAATAAATAAATGTAAATGTAATAAATAAATAAATAAATAAATAAATAAATAAATAAATAAATAAATAAATAAATAGACTTCCCTTAGTTTATGAGGGGGAACTGAAAGTTAACAAAACAAGCTCATGCCATACATAAACATGGCAAATAATGTTGGCATATTGAGGTTTTTTTAATTATGTTTCATGAAATAAAATAAAATATAAAAGAACAGGTTTACTTATCATGATCTAAATGTATGCATTATGCTTAGGAACCTATGATTTCTTCAACATATAAACAGAAAAAGCTGTTTGAAACCCCAGGAATTCACACATAGAATTTATCTTTCTCATTTACTTTAGTTCATGAAACCAGGGTAAA